AGACCCCGTTATTTAACAAACATTTAATATAGAGGGAGGGTAAGAAAATAAAATTAATTAATGTTTTTGAATAGATATAGCCAGTAAAGGGGGGGGGGGTCAGGAGCCACAAAAGTGGGTTCCAGAAGCAGTATACTTGCTGTGGGTGGTAGGGCTGTGCAATTCAGCTGCCCCCATTCCATTTTTAGGGAGCTTTGCGAATTCAGGAGGGGTTTCTGTTTTCATGCTGAAAAGATTTGGTCCATTGTAGCCAATAGGGAAACTTTAGAGTTTAGAGGTTTGTTTTTTCATCATTTTTAGGCCTATCAGTATGAAACTCACCTCACTTGTACACCACATTTACTTCTACAAGCTTACCACCTTTCAGAACATTTTACCAATGCACTATCTTTTTGAATTTTTTTACCATAACATTTTTATTTAAAAATTCCATGAGAGAGGGTTCTGGGAATTGAAGTCCCAAGCTCATTCCCAAGAGGAGAGGAGAATGGATACAGTAAGCCAGGCCTCTGATTGGCTGAGAAAGAAAGTGAGGGAAACACAGAGAGGGAAACCAAGTCCCATCATGCCTTGGGAGGGAGCACAAGTCTCCTTAAATGCCCAGGACGGAACCCTGCAGCACTCCGCTCGTCACTTCTTTCCAAGATGAAGAGGAAACATTGGTGAGCACCCTCTGGGTTCGTCCATTTAACCAATTACAGATCCACCTCACCATAGTTTTGCCTAGCCCACATTGGACTAGTTTCCTTGCCAGAAGGTCACCTTGTTGAAGGCCTTACTGAAATCCAGGTACACTACATTGACGGCATTCCCCACATCTACCCAGCTTGTAACTCTATCGAAAAAAGAGATCAGATTAGTCTGGCATGACTTGTTTTTGATAAATCCATGTTGACTATTAGCATTGACCGCATTTGTTTCTAAGTGTTTGCAGACCACTTCCTTAACAATCTTTACCAGAATCTTGCCTGGTATCGACGTGAGGCTGACCGGACGGTAATTGTTTGGGTCATCATTTTTTCCCTTCTTGAAGATTGGGACCACATTGGCCCTCCTCCAATCTGCTGGAACTTCTCTCGTTCTCCAAGAACTCTCAAAGATGGTTGCCAATGGTTCGGAAATGACTTCCGCTAGTCCCTTCAATACTCTTGGGTGTAGTTGATCTGGCCCTGGGGACTTGAACTCATTTAGAGCGGCCAGGTATTCCTGGATGACTTGTTTCCCAATTTGGGGTTGGATGTCCTCTAATCCCTCATCTATTCCATTTTGCTGAGGTTGAAGATGACTTTCTTTTTGTGAGAAGACCGAGGCAAAGAAGGCATTAAGTAGTTCTGCCGTTTCCCTATCCCCTGTCAGCATTGCCCCATCAATGATATCCATGCAGAGAATGACAGAGAGATACCAGTTCAAAGGGCAGTTTTTCATGAGAATGTTCCTGCAGGGCATAGGAATGATGGTGTACTCCCTGACGCTGTGAGCTCTCAAGATTTGGGGTTTGAAAACAATTTGATACCTGTATTATTTAATGAGCAGCCAGATAAGTAGCTCATAGACAGATGGCTGGAATTTGGCCAGAATAGACAGCTATGACAAAGGTTACTTTGCTCCCCCAGGCTTAGAGAGATAAGAGCCAGGAGTGATAGCCAGGGAAACAAAACCAGTTTCTGAGTTTTGGGATATAAGGTTTCCCTCAAAGGAAACTTGTTAGATGAAGCATAGTTCAAGAAACCTAGCTCTTGTTCCATGGAAGCCTTGCTTGGAAGATTCACCTCAAGGGTACTTGTTCATGGTTGGACTTCTTGGTCTTTTTGGATTTGATTACAAAAGTCTGGATTTTACCTTTGTACTCTGTTAACCCTTGCCTTGGATTGCCTTTGTATTTTGTGAACTCTGCTTTGGATTACTTTGCTCCTGCTGATCTTTTTTATCTTATTGGAACTTCTCTGCTTCCTTAAAGCATACATTTACAACTGACTTTCTTTACTAAGCTTCAATAAAAAAGGATTGTTTTCTTACCCATTGTGTGGTGTTTAAAAGTCAGAGGGTTATTCTGTCCTGGAGTGCAACACATGCGGGCACTGGGAGAGGGCCTTCAGGAAGGGATGGAGGAGGCTGCCGGGGAAGAAAGTGCCTTCACTTTCAGGAAAGCAGCAGCTTTCCTGATTAGCAAGGCTGCTCTGCCCACAAGCTGATGTGCCTGCCTCAGGTAGAGGGCCGCTCACTCAGCCCCAATGATTCCTATTAGCCCTCATTAGCCAAAAAGATTTGGGTGCTGTGATCTGTTCTGGCTAAAGCTTCAGCTACCCCCCACCTGGCTCATTTTCATGGATTCAGCAACAGAATCCTCCAAACTATCCAGAATCTGTTTTCAAAAACATAAATGTGCACAGCCCTATTGGTTGGCACTATGCCACCCTTGCTCTAAGACAGTTATTCCCAAACTTTGGTGCTTCGATTGTATTGGACATCAACTTCTAGAAGCCCTAACTGACTTGGCCAACAGCCAGAAATTCTGAGAGTTGAAACCAAAAACATTTGGAGGACCAAAGTTTTGGAATCGCTGCTCTAGAGTTTCTCTTTCCTCAATGCCTTACTCCTCACACATTAAGTGAATTCATCAGATGCATGTGAACATAGCTATAGTTTAAACTTTTGCAACAATGATCAACATTTGTTCTACAAAATAGAAATCTACCAGAAACAACATATTCAAGGCAGCTGTGTTGGCCATGCAGAAAAATTCACAATATTGTAATATCTCCATCAGCCAATGAAATTCCACAAAACACATAGTACACATTCCAAAGCCCAGAAACCCTGTGTGGTGAATGTTGCGCATTGTCTGCTCCAGCAGACAAGAGTCCTTTGTCCCACCCTGGTCATTCCACAGATATATAAACACCTTTTCCTAGTTCCAACAGACCTCACTACCTCTGAGGATGCTTGCCATAGATGCAGGTGAAATGTCAGGAAAGAATGCCACTAGACCATGGCCATATAGCCCGAAAAAACCTACAACAACCCGTTGCACATTTTGTTTGACCAATGAAAGTATAACTGGCAAAAAGAGACACATGTTTTTGAAGTGTCAACTAAAGTCAAAAGGTAATTATTTTTGCTTTAAGGCAAAATGGCATCCAGCTTTTAAGCTGCTTGAAGAGAAGGATACAGTAATTCAGCAGTATACAGCTTGAGGTATTCTTTATCTGAAATGCTTGGGATCAGTTTTTTTTGGAATCGTATTATTTATGCATAAGCATAAATAATATGATATCTTGGAGAAGGGACACATGTCTATGCAGTATATGTTTCATATAGATCTCATATACATAGCCTGAAAATAATTTTATGCACTAAATTTAGACATGTTTGTGTATCTTGAATTATTAGAATGTGCTTCTATCTCAACCAACCAAGTGGACAATTTTGGATCCTGGAACATTTTTTATTTCAAATTTTCAGATAAGGGATGCTTAACCTGTAGAAGCTTATTTCAAGATGAGGACAGAAAAATATATTTGACCATATCTGAGGATAGCAACATCGACAGCTATGCACTCTCCATAGCACTTGTAGTTCTGTTTTTCAACACCCCATTGTTATCCATCATCTATTACCTGAGGTGACTGCTTCAGTTTGCCTACTAGTAAGGCAGCTCTGCTTTAAAGGGCTCTATACTTATTCCAATGAATACAAAAAATATTTCAGTTAAAATGACAAGGAGCTGAAGGGTTAAGTGCAACTTAAACTGAGATGAACTTTTGTATATTTCAGTGTAAACAACATACTTGCTTTCAAGAGCCACAGCTGTAAGAAAAAAAGAATCCATGCATTGTGTGTGAACAAACACAAGTCAAAGTCCCAAACTGCTTTTCTCCAATTCTGTTTACATGGCCCAAAATCACAGATTGGCCAAATTCTGGGCCAGTAGTCAGAGTATTCTGTGACTTTTTAGCATGAGTCAAGACCATGTTAAGATAGCTTTTCTCAGCCTTACCACAGATCAGCTTCACATAGCAATTGCTCACTGCTGAGTTAATTTGGGGGCCCTTTTATGGCATGTGATCAATAAAGATACACCCTCGGGTTTTATATGTTTTGGCAGGGCAGGCATGTAGCCGGGGGGGGGGGGGGGGGCTTCCCCCCCCCCTGAAATTATCATGGTGGTTCGTGAAAAGGCCTTACTGGTGCATTATTTAAACTGTTATGTTTATTCATATCATGATCTGATCACCATACTCAATATATCCCATATGATTGGGGGTATTGGGGTAACGATACAAAAGGTTTGCTAGGGTAGACCTTCTTTCACTCAGACTCAGCCCCACCAAAACAAACTCAGCCCCCGCCCCCGAAACAAACTCAGCCCCCCCGAATCGAAATCTTGGCTACGGGCCTGGTTCAGAGCAAAGCATGCTGGTCAGGGTGCGTCCATGAACAAGAAAGTAGAAAGCAGCAAATGGTTCAGCAAAATATTTTAAAACGTGGTGGTAACAGATAAGAGCACATAGAGCAAAATCAACAATTTGGGGTCTGCTTCATGTAATAAAATATCTGCGCTAGTAATCCTGCTCAGTATGAGAGGAACTGCAGGTTCAGACATTTGGTGTAGGTTAGTTTTACCCTACTGATGAGGCGTTGTTGCGCTAGTAATAAAATATCCCTGGTTAGTAACCAAAATATCAACTTCCCTTAAACCTTCACAACTGACAGCAATAATTTATTTTTAAAATTTCTTATTATTTAAAAATAAGGAATGGCAGTGGAAGAATAGCACAAGAGGACAACATAGCAAGAGGTATCTATGTACATTGAGAGTTACACCATTCTGGGCATATTTCTAGTATTTGCATATGTTAATTACAAAAACATAACTCATATTGGATATATTTCTCATTTCAAGGAAGGGAGACTTTTTTCAACAGCTATACAAATGGAAGATTATTTTATGTATACTGAAGAGAAAGTTTTTTTTTTAATGAGGAACAGAACAATCATACCTGTGGGCACAAAGTCTCCATCTGACTGGCAGCTGTTTGGGCAATTTTAATTCCTTCTTTATTTGTTGATACTGAACAAGCAAGATTAGCCACCTAGAAGGGAGAAAAAATAAAAGTGGTCCATGATGTGTGAAACTGTTTCAGAATATTTATTTTCATCCCTTACTTTCACCGCCTTTTAATTTCAGACAATGTATTTAGAATGATGATATGCTAAAGAAATGCAGATTCTTCACCCATGGTGAACAGGAAATTGAAGATGGCTGCCAGATTTATACTTTTTCTGTTGTGGAATATTTTATGTCATTCATTACTATATTGAAAGAAGAATATGGCATAAGGAAAAGATGGATTTTGCTAAATAATCAAAATAATTCTGTGAAAGTTTAGCTCTTTCTGCTATTGCCACACACATTCTTTGGTGAGCTTTTAGTCATTCAGAGAAGATTATTTTGACCTGTTGAAATAAATACTGTGATAAAGGCTGGCTTGATATTTCATGTTGCATACGTTGAATTTTGCTAAAAAATTTCCCCAATCATTTGATGAATTTAGCGGCTAAATTGATTGGGCAAGCAAATTGGTTGTAACATTTCATAGAATCATAGAATCAAAGAGTTGGAAGAGACCTCATGGGCCATCCAGTCCAACCCTTGCAAAGAAGCAGGAATATTGCAATCAAAGCACCCCTGACAGATGGCCATACAGCCTCTCTTTAAAAGCTTCCAAAGAAGGAGCCTCCACCACACCCCAGGGCAGAGAGCTCCACTGCTGAATGGTTCTCAGATTCAGGAAGTTCTTCCTCATGTTCAGATGGAATCTCCTCTCTTGTAGTTTGAAGCCATTGTCCTAGTCTCCAGGGAAGCAGAAAACAAGCTTGCTCCCTCCTCCCTGTGGCTTCCTTTCACATATTTATACATGGCTATCATATCTCCTCTCAGCCTTCTCTTCTTCAAGCTAAACCTGCCCAGCTCTTTAAGCCGCTCCTCATAGGGCTTGTTCTCCAGACCCTTGATCATTTTAGTCGCCCTTGTCTGGACACATTCCAGCTTGTCAATATCTCTCTTGAATTGTGGTGCCCAGAATTGGACACAATATTCCAGGTGTGGTCTAACCAAAGCAGAATAGAGGGGTAGCATGACTTCCCTAGATGTAGACACTATGCTCCTATTGATGCAGGCCAAAATCCCATTGGCTTTTTTTGCCGCCACATCACATTGTTGGCTCATGTTTAACTTGTTGTCCACGAGGACTCCAAGATCTTTTTCACACGTACTGCTCTCGAGCCAGGCATCCCCCATTCTGTATCTTTGCATTTCGTTTTTCCTGCCAAAGTGGAGTATCTTGCATTTGTCACTGTTGAACTTCATTTTGTTAGTTTTGGCCCATCTCTCTAATCTGTCAAGATCATTTTGAATTCTGCTCCTGTCCTCTGGAGTATTGGCTATCCCTCCCAATTTGGTGTCGTCTGCAAACTTGATGATCATGCCTTCTAGCCCTTCATCTAAGTCATTAATAAAGATGTTGAACAGGACCGGGCCCAGGAAGGAACCCTGTGGCACTACGCTCATCACTTCTTTCCAGGATGAAGAGGAAGCATTGGTGAGCACCCTCTGGGTTCGTCCATTTAACCAATTACAGATCCACCTCACCATATATTTTCAGGTCATCATTCCCCAAAATATCAATTCTCTCCCTCTCTCCCCCCCCCCTCTCTCTCTGTATGATATATATGTGTATGTGTCAAAATCTGTCTGTCCCACAAAGGCTGTTGCTAGGTGAGACATTGCTCCTTTTTGATGTCACTGTATTAGATGTTTAAGTAAAGGAATGGCTATTGCTAGGTGAAGTAACCCTCTGTGATGTCACTGGGAAAAAAGCGACTTGTGTATGAGAAGAAAGGAGGAAGGAAGAAAAGAGCCACAAGAAAGAACTGTGTTGACATGGAGACATTGGAAGATATTCCCTTTCAGAGTTGACAGGAAGGGGAAGGAAAGGTATGAGAAAAAAAGAAAGAAGGAATGAAAGCAGGGGAGAAACAGCCCCTTCTCCCCTGGATAACCAGGTCTGCCTTTGAAAAATAGTAAAAAAAAATTCAATTCATGTGTGGTTGTCAGGATGCTAAAAGGTCTGCTTACTTTATTTTATTTATTTGCATTATTTCTACCCTGCTCATATCAGCCCGAAGGCGACTCAGATTTTATGGACGGAACTGCTGTCCTACCAATATTTAAATGTCTTAAGATCAATGTCCTCAAAAGGAATGGCTATCCAAAAATATACTGGCAGATGTGGACATCACTAGGTGAGGTACATTGGATGGCGCTACTGGAAAGGCCTTCTTGCTCTTGGTATTCTTTGTATCCTGAGGCACATATCATGTGCCAAATTTTTATACAATTTAAACTCAGGGAAAGATTCATCTGATTGTCCATTTCTGACTGGTGGGTTGCAGTTTATTTATTAAATAATGATTTTTTGTACAAATATTTACTTGTTGTTTTATAATTATTTTGTCTCCATGAGACTTTTTTTTGCAAAGAACAATATATAAACAAAACAATCACATTCATTATAATATACGAACCCAACAAAGAATTACAGACAATGGGTTGGATTATGGATCAGTTCTCAGTGGAAGAGGTCTATTTACAGAAGGGTTTCTACCAGGTTTGGGAGGTTGGGGAACCCCCTCCAACCCATACCATAGTCAATTGTGTTTTTGGGATAACTAAGTAGCATTTTCAGGGAAGTGGTAGGATTAAAATGGGGAAAGGGGCAGGCAATTCTGTTTTTGCTAATCCAGATTCAGATGTCAACATCTGTATACAGTACTGTTAGTTCACAGCTGCTATTTTAATCAATAAAATCTTTTTTTCCCATACATTGCCTTGCAGTCTTCCCCAACTTTGACTAGCCTATGTATTATAGAGTATTGCACTTCAATAGAAGAACTTGTATTTCCAAGTGTGAACAGCTGGATGCAAGAACAGAACAGTGAAGAATTCTTTTTATATTCCTTCAATATTGTGCCTTGCTTTAGTTTGAAAAACCTTTGTCTCTAGGAAGTCTGTCAACTTCTGTTGAACAAAATCCTTTTAGCTTATCAAAAACTGTTAAGATAATTTGCTGGAGATGGAGAAGAAAAGAATGCTAACAATGCACCAAATCTGCCAAAACGTAATTATAGCTTCTGAACCTCAGCAGTTCAGATTGCTAGCATCTTTGCTTATTGTTAAATTTTGAAATAATCTCATGCATAATCATTCCCCTCTATAGTTAATGATCCCATTAGGGATACAATCAAGAGGTAAAAAGCTCAATTACTTGCCCATGCAACATTTAGTAAATGCAGACGTGAAAAAAGCATTGTGAGATCACTGACATATTGAGAAATTTGTTGCACATCACTTGATTAATATTGTTCTAAATTTCAATTTCAAGATCGGAAATCTTCTATAAAGAAGCAGTATATTGTTTTAATTATATTATATGATTACCACTCAGTGAATACAAGAAGAAGTTCCCCATAAAATTGGTTTGATAAAAACTGTGTTGGTGCCAAACTTATTTATTAGAGCAAGTTGGTTGGTTTTAAATTAGAGAGCCAATGAAAATTGCTCATATACACATTCAATAAAACTAAATATGATTTCCAAGAAAATATGAGTGATAATTCAAGGATCATCAGAGTTCTTGGCAAATAGTAGCAGAAGGGAATAATAAGATGAACCAAAATCAAGATAACTGATTAAAATACCGATTAAAATACTTCCCAACAAAAGTAATTACTACTAATGATAAGAAGTTAAGTCTTAGCTAAGAAAACAATTTTCTAAGCAACATATTACAAAGCACATTGGAAGATAAGACTGCCAATGACTAGTAGTCATGGAGACTATATATTGCTTCCAAAATTAGAAGTATGCCTCCCAATAGTAGTTGAGAGGGAAACTAAAATCTTGCTTTCTGCTACATTTTAATTTTTTGAGTTCCTTCTATCCTAAATATGTGATTGACAAATTTTGACAAATTCTTCAAGATTAATTTGTTTCCCATCTGCACAAGCTAAATTCAGAAGGTATGGCTGTTCCCACCACAGGGAGCACCATATGTTGCAATTGCCTACTGTATATGTGTTAGATAATAAGTCCCTTTGGCGGGGGGGGGGGGGGGGGGGGGGGGAAGAGGTGGCAATCTTCATTCAGCATTAACATAGCAACACATGCAATAATTCACTATCTAAATCAAAGCCCCTGGACATGATGGACAGATGGAGTTAACAATATTGCTTCCTCCCACATGTGATTACATTTACCTCATTTTTTTTCGATCCCAAATGTGAAGTAATTTATTAATTTGGCTATATTCTGGATGAGTAAGTTCCATCCCTAGGAGTGCTCCTTCTCAACTCAGAGCAGGTGAGTTGAGTAAATTCAGTGCTCTCTAAAATGTAAGGTTCACCAGTTGTCCGTGATGCTCCTTCCCGAAAATGAAAAACTCTGTGCAAAAGAGATTATAATGAAGTGATATAATGAATGAGATCAGCTGTAGATGCTGTCTCAGTGGCTGCATTTTCCAAATCCCCAGACACTAGTCAGGCAATTGGAGTGTGAAATCGAACTCTGTTTACCATTTTTAGACTTCTTAAACAACATTTCTCTACAACCTAAGAATCATAACATCAACCAAAAAAAGCTGGCAGTTTTTTTAAAAAAAGATGAGGACAGGACAACGCACAAGCCAATACTAGCACAATTGATAATATACAAATCACAGAAGTTAAAAATCACAGAAACAAACATTAGGAGCTAAAACTACAATAAAATAATGTATTATAATCTTTACAGATATAGATTTTCAAATATAAATTGAGCATTCCTTATCCAAAATACTTGGGACCAAAAGTATTCTGTACTTTTTCAGATGTTGGAATACCTGAATTTTCATGTACATATAATGAGATGAGGTTCCCCTGGTTACACAGTGGGTTAAACCACTCAGCTGCTGAATTTACTGCCTGAAAGGTTGGTGGTTTGAATCTGGGAAGCGGGGTGAGCTTCAACTGTTAGCCCCCAACTTCTGCCAACCTA